AAATATATATCAAACATTTAGGATGGCCTAGCAATGCAAGGATTCTCATACTTTATTTTCTTTGAATTTTAACACTGCTCCACGTTTCTTTTGACTGTAAGCAAATACAGTCACCTGCTACTTCATTAGCTACACCTGCTAAACTACTTGTTAGCCCATGTATCTAATCAGCCAATCACATAACAGCAACTGAATCCATTTAAGCATGTAGACCCGGTCCAGATGACCTTCAGACAGAGCATCAGAATGACGACTTTGTCAGTGATTTTGAAAATGGCACGGTTAGTGGCTGGTCTGAGTACTTCAGAAACTAGGAAATTGAGTGGGATTTTCCCCACACAACCAACTCTGAGGTTTACAGAGAATGGTCTGAAAAGGAGAACATATCCAGTGAGCTGCAGTGGCCTGGGAAAAATGCTTCAAGCTGATGACTCGAAGCTGATAGGAAAACAACAGCAACTCAAATCACTATGCAGAAGAGCATTTCCGAACCCATTGGAGGATAGAAGATTGGATAGTCTGGATGTGGTGGTATAATAGTTTAAGGGATATTTGCTTGGGACACTTTGGGCCCCCTAGCACTAACTAAGCATTGTTTAAACACCACAGCCCACCGATTTATTGCTGCTGATCATGTCTATTCCTTTTTGACCACAGTGTACACATTTACCAATTGCTGCTTCTAGCATAGGACAAAGCTCAAATCATCTCAAACTGGTTTGAACATGACAATGAGTTCAATGTACCCAAATGACTTTCACAGTCACTAAATGCCACTCCAATAGAGTACCTTTTGTATGTGGTGAAATGGGGAATTCACATCATGGATGCTGTTATGTAACTGTGGACAGCATCTCTGAGAAATCTTTATAAAATTAAGAGTTTAGACAGCTCTGAACCCAAAAGGATGTCCAAACCAGCCCAGTGAATATATATGATACTGAAAAGCAGATTAAGGTTTTGGTGTTGGAGTTGAAACAAAACACAAAACTAGATCTGTACTTTTTAAAAATCTATGACTAGGTAGATACCCGATGTGTGTGTGTGTGTGTGTGAGTGTGTGACATTAAACCACCCCCTTTACTTCTCTTCCTTTATCAGGGTTTCATTTTTACACCTACACATAATACTGACTGGTTAGACCCACGGTACAGAAATACATATGATTAAAACAGAAAAAAGAAGGAAACGGTTTATTTATTAAAATATTTTCTTAGACTAAGACTTTCCGCACTGATTCTGGCCTTTCAGATAACATCTGTCTTCTTCTCTCATAATTAAGGAAATGAAAATATAACGACTATAAACAGAATCCCACGAGAACATTTCCTGGCTTATTTTGTGCACCACATTGAGATCATATCACTTGTTTTCGAACATTAAACAAATTATGTTTCAGTGCTAATTCAATCCAGAGCTGTCAGCTAGTTCATCACCTGAGATAAGAAGTTTGCTTTCTTGGTCTTTAGAGGGAAGGTTAAATATAGCTTTTTTAAAACAACAGATTAACGTTGTTACGTTATTGGAAGACGCGGTAGTGTGTATGAGAGTAAAAAAAAAATCATCGATGTGTTCTAATAATAACAATAATGCGTTTAGAGCTACAATATAATAATAACGTCGTTATTTTAATAAGGATAAACAATATTATGAACCTTGAGGTTCGGCGTGCTTGATGACGACACTCGTTAGACACGCTCCGATTGGTTAGTTTTTAACCGGAAGTAGGTTACAACCCACTCTTTTCTCTTTGCTCCGTGGCATTCTGTAACACAACCTACCTACCGACTGCTGCTAGTTTAACACAAAATGCGACAGCTGTAATGAGGGACAGGGATGGACAAAGCCGGGATTAGGTGAGTGAACGTTTGGGGAGTACTATGGGTAACAGAGAGGCTTTCTAACGGGTAAGAATAAAAACCCGAAAGCGAAGTGAAGCGCGGAACACCGCTAAGCTAGCAGCAGAACTGTAGTCATGTCCGGTTCGAATTTTTTCGAAATAAGGGGATGTGCTGCCTGTAATGTCGCAAATTTCAAAAGAATTAAAGGTGCTGAAATTTGCAAATATGCCACAAGGGAAAAAAAATCTAATTATCAAAGGTTTTAGGCTAAGAATTTTTTTTTAATTCTGGAAATATAGCCAACTTTTCTCTGTCGCCATACCAGTAGCTTAATTAGAGTTTGAAAGCCTCCCATTATTAGCATGACTTGGTTCTGTTGTTTTTCAGGCAGTCTTGTGTTACTTTGTCCTTGACTTAAACTATGTTAAAATCAGGCAGTTTCATGTCGACGGATGGTACTAAAGATACTTGTATGTGAGGCAAAACAAAAAGACACATTGTAGAAGGGCTGTAAATAAACCGCCCCCCCCCCCCCCCCCCCCCCCACACACACACACACCCCTTCTAAACTGTTGAATAAGCACTCTTTAAAGTCGGTTCCTCATTTTTGTGACACATCATCAGCAGAACAGTTTTGCGTTAGACATTCTTTGTGTGAGTAGTTACAATCTGAAAAAACTAATATCATAGTTGCGTTTTGCCTTTTAGAATGTTAATAAGAATCATTAATATTTCATATTTCTGTGTTTGGTGTTAAACATTCAAACATACAAACATTCAAGATCTAATTTTAGAAGAAGGCATTAAGGTTAAAAAAATAAATGTACAAAGAAGTATTTTGACAGCTTAGGCTTTTAAAACATCAGCACAAGCTCAGTTCCAGTTCTGGCTGGATTCAGAGCCCTATTTCATTATAGCTGTCTAGAGACTGATTTATATCTGGGTGTGAGAGCCTGAAAACAGGGTTACTTTGTAAGTGTAAGCTTGGAGCTGTGTGACCTTCAAGAACCTGCTGCACATGGTATCTGGTTGATACGATATTAGGCGTGGAAAGTCTTGAAGGCTGCCTTTCTTTTTTTACCAGGGATTCTTGACTGGTGAGCCTTGTGTGACATTTACCAAGCCTGTAATTCAAAAGATAATCACAAATCGGCCTTGAACGCTGTGTGTGTTTCACTTGTTTTGTCCACTTTCGTTCCAAGAAGGTACCTCTCAGAATCTGGAGTGTTTGGTCTTGCCGCTTTGCACAAAGCCCGTGCATTTATTTTGAAGAGAAAGAGCTACACCGGAAGTCAGTCTGTAGCTAGCTTGCTGTGAAGCTCGCCCACCAGTTTCCTTGTGTGCTGTTGTTTGGCTGAGAGCTAGCTGGCGTGTGTTAGCTGTCCAGGTGTAGCTAATCCCTGCTGTCCCTCCTTTTTCAGGTTTAAACGGAATCTTTGAAGTGAAGAAGTCGGATAAATGTTCAAAAGAAACTTACTGACTGAAGGAAACTATAGATAGCAGGTTGGTTTATTTGAAAGGTTGCTTAAAGGTAACACATTAAATGTCATTGTATGATTATCTGCTGTTTTGTCATCAGTGCTTTTATCTAAAAGTCCCTGTATTGGGATCCTGGATTGTGGCTTTTTTCTGATTGTGGATTTCTGTGTTTTTAACAGCTGATCGTTTTGTGGATTTACACAGGAGCTATGTGTGGAAATACTGATGCATTGGAGCCAAAGAACAAGATCTCTTTATTCCAAAATGACCTACCCACCCATGTCTCTAAGATGATGTACAGAAACCTGTTTTAAGTAATGTGAGCAGTCCGGGGCGAAGGGAATGCAGGCTCGTCAGCTATAGCTTTTATGAGAACGTGATGCCCAGGCGGGGGTTGCCACTTCAGGGTCGGGTCCGCTGGCTCTTCCTGGGTCTTTTTCTGCTGCTGGTGTTGCTGCTGTTTGCATACCTTCTGGAGTGCACTCCACCAGCAGACGTCAGCCTGATCTTACCAGGCCCTGTAGGGGAGCCCTATGGCAAAGAATACTACCAGGCCCTGCTCCAGGAACAGGAGGAGCGCCACCTGAACCGTGCTGCCAGTCTGAAGCGGCAAATTGCCCAGCTTAAGCAGGAATTACAGGAAATGAGTGAGAAGTTGAAAGTTCTCCAAGAGAAAAAAGAGCTTCCAGGAGTTCCGGGTCTGGCCGATAAAGACCAAGAGCCCGGAGATTTGCTGGAGTACTTGCATTCTCAGATCGACAAGGCTGAGGTCAACACTGGAGCTCGCCTTCCAAGCGAGTATGCCTTGGTGCCGTTTGAGAGTTTTACTTCTTCCAAGGTGTACCAGCTGGAAATGGGGCTAACGCGGCACCCAGAGGAGAAACCAGTCCGCAAGGACCGCAGGGATGAGCTGGTGGAGGTCATTGAGGCCGCACTAGACATCATCAACAACCCCGACGAGGAGGATGGTGTGGAGGATGATGTGCCGATGCAGAGGCAAACCTACACAGATGGTCACTTTACTGAAGGTGAGACTCTCAGTTAAATTACAGAGTAAGAGGCAATGACTGTAACCAGTGTTCAAAATGAACCTTTTATTAACAGTTTCCACTCAGTGAAGAGACTCGTTGAAAAAGAAAATCACCAGGAAAATCTATTTTTAACGATCCAGAATAATAAACTGAGCCTTTGTTCCAAATCTGATTTGGTTAGTACATTTTATTAAGACAAAGGAGCACTGGGTTGCACTGATAAACACGATCTGACAAACACTGGCCAATATTGCCTATTGATTGATGTTGGCATATGACAGTTATCAGATTTTGTGAACAGCCTATATTTAGGAATATAAATGTTGCACTGGTTAAATGTTCAAATTGTGTGAGCTGCAAGACTTTAACTCTTTACCCTCTGAAAGCCTTTGAAGCTCTTTTCTGAACTTGATGCTTTCTGTCATATTTCAGGCCCGCTTATAGAACAAAGTGACTGGGTGTGCATCAGAAGTTAGTGAGGATGGTCCCTGACCTTGCAGCTTCCTTTGGAAAAAAACGAGTCAAAATTAAAGCACATCTTTTATTTTCTTTTAGAATATTTCTTTATTTTCCCCTTATTCCAGGAAAACAATAAACGACAAAACAAAATCAGCCAAATTGTTACTTTAAACAGTGATATTGAGCCAAAATGTCACAATCGGCAAAGGTCCGATTCAAGTTCAGACAGAAAAAACTTGACCTCAAAAGTGATGCGTCAAACGTAAAATACATTTGAAAGTTCATAAGCTGCACACTCAGCTGCAATGACCCTCCATGACTCCTGCTCCTTGGCTAGTGTATATTGCTTGGTCAGAGTTGTGGTTAGGAGATTACATGAGATAGTTAAGGTTTGACAAAACTGCAGGGGTCAGAGCCAGTCAGATTAAGATTGTGGTGTGCCTTTGCATAGCAAGGATGGGGACAAAAGTTTATGCTACGTGTCTGTGTTTGCGCGTTAGTCATGCACAGCAGTAGTGCCAAACAGAAAGTCTCCTTGAATTTGGCATTTAGTGCCACTTAGTGGATAACTGGTATGTTTTCTCAGCCTGTCTCAGTGTTTTTCAGATTGTCTTCTTTTGGCAGGGCTGTACCGGACAGAGCGAGACAAAGGGACACTTTACGAGCTCTTCTTTGCCAAAGAGGATTCCAGCAGTTTCCGCCACGTCACACTCTTCAGGCCTTTTGGGCCCTTAATGAAAGTCAGGAGCACATCTGTGGAAACATCAGGAATGATTATTAACATCATTGTGCCACTAGCGGGCAGAGCAGAAACTTTCTCACAGTTCTTGCAAAACTTCAGGTGAGAATGAATCTTAAATCCATCCCTCTCCACTAAACATGAGCCAGCACCCTTGGCCTTCATTAGACATGTTGGCTTTTGTTTCCACCATTGTTGTGGAAAGCACTGCAGCCTTGTGTGTTCTTGTAATCCATTTGAAAAATGCATGTGTTTTTAGGGAGGTGTGCATACAGCATGACAGAAGGGTACATCTCACGGTGGTTTATTTTGGGCAGGAAGGTCTACAGGAGGTGACGTCATCTCTGGAAAAAATGTCGAGGTGAGTCTATTGAACAGAAAGACTTTTTAATAGGCTTGTTAATATGTCGTATGAGGCATTTGTTAAAAATCAGGCGTTTTGTTTTACAGGGAGGAGAGCTTCTCTAACTACACTCTCATCCCAGTGGACGAGGAGTTTTCCCGAGGTCGAGGTTTGGATATCGGAGCTCATGCATGGAAGAAAGGCGACGTCTTAATGTTTTTTTGTGATGTGGACATTCATTTTACACTCGAGTTCCTTAACACCTGTCGTCTCCACGCTGCTCCAAGTAGGTTTAATTGGCTCACATTCATTATAGTCTTTTAGTGCTCTTGCTCTCAGCCAAAGGTTAATTTGCTTGTTCTGTTTTACAGACAAGAAAGTCTTCTATCCTGTCGTGTTTAGTTTGTACAATCCTGCCATTGTCTACGGAAATTTGGAGCTGGCTCCACCTGTTGAACTCCAGCTGGTAAGATGTGTAAAGGTTCCCATTCTGACCAACGTGTTAGAAAGCTGGTTTGGTGGTGACCTGTGTGTCAGAGATGACTATCTGTTTTCAAATAGATTCATAAAAAGGATGCTGGATTCTGGAGAGACTTTGGATTTGGAATGACATGCCAGTATCGCTCCGACTTTCTAAATATCGGTAAGCACCAATCATTTGTTTTATTAGACGCGACAGTTGTGCGTAACATGTTTTAAATGGGTCCTTTCCCCGCAGGTGGTTTTGATCTTGAAGTCAAAGGTTGGGGGGTGGAAGACGTCCACTTGTACAGGAAGTATCTGCGGAGTGACGTGATAGTGATCCGCACGCCTGTGTCGGGTCTGTTCCACCTGTGGCACGAGAAGCAGTGCGCGGACGAGCTGACGCCGGAGCAGTACCGCATGTGCATCCAGTCCAAAGCGATGAACGAGGCCTCCCACTCTCACCTGGGGATGCTGGTTTTCCGCGAGGAGATCGAGGCTCACCTACGCAAGCAGGCCTTCAAGACACAGAGCAAAACAGAGGACTGAGCGAGCCTCTGCGTACCCAGCATCATTTCTACATTAAGACTGCATGGTGCTGATATCATTAAGGCACTACAGCAAAGACATGTTTACACGGATCCTTCTGCATTTCACCGCACAGCTGTAGACAAATGAATGTACAAAAATGAACATTAGTCAATGTGAAATTTCACAACGTGGCAACAAGTGTTACTGAAGAGCTGACGCATAATTAGCAATACTTAACTTGCTGAGGGAAGAACAACAGGTACGTATCTCGTGGATTTAGGTTGACAATATGTTACATGAAATCAAATCAATAGGCATGCGCTTTCTAACTTTGAACTCAACAACTTCTCATTAAGCCATCCTGCCTGCTTCAAACACAGCACCTGACCTGCAGCCAGCCTCTTTAGCACCTTTTACAGCCAAATATGACTTCAGAAAGATTTCAGCTCATTGCGATGATTTCTGGCAGCTGTTGCGTGTTTGGACAGGCTTTTTAAGTCAAACTAAAGACACATTAAAGGATAACAAGTTGCATAATTTATTGACAACTGTAAAGACGTTGCACTTTCTCATAGTGAACAAAAGAAGCCAAAAGTTTCAGCTGATCCTCAAACACTTTATAATCTTTCACTCAGTATTTTGGCAGTAGTATATGGAGCCATAATATTCTGTTGCTATTAGAAGTTCTGTGAGAGGGGCAGTATGGTTTTTTTTTTTTTTTTAAAAAAAGGGAACTTGTGTTTTGTGACAGTGAGTCGCTGTTATCATTCATTTATTGCCGATTGTTTCCAAGTAAAGAGTTCACCTGAAAAGCATGTTGATCAAATGGTTCAAGGACTTGAGCAGAGATCTGCTTACTGCATGCAACGCTACAATATCAGGTGTATGTGGACCAGTATTATTGTATAGATAACAACGAGCGTCGTTCCCAGCACTACGATTCCCACTTCTTGACTGGGATTGAATGTTACAGTCCTGCTTGTAAATATTTTTCTAATATTCCATTGTTTCATACATGTGAGTTAAATATGTGCCTACATGCAGACAGTACTATGAGCTGTATTCACAGCTGCTGGTTTTTATTCCACATAATGTTACAGCTGAACAGTTCACAGGTTAGAGGGGTAATTTTAATGAGGACAGCTGTCTAAAGATTACATAGTGCAGGCAAGAAGTGCTTTTTCTCCCTCACAGAGGAAGCAGGTCTCATCTGGTACTGTAATTATTTTATTATTAATGTTTTTGCAAATATTCCAGCTTTCTGTAGATAGTTTTCGAGTTTCTCCTTCCCCTGCAGGAGAAAACATCAGCAGTATACAATCCAAACGAAACACTTGAGCAAGGTGATGATTTATTTTGAGTCTTGCCATGAAATAAAACGTACAGAAGGCTGCATTCGCTTCTGCTCCTTCCTTTCTGCTGTTAGTATTCGATCTGCTGATACATGTTCTTGGGAAACTTGACCCCTCCCCCCATTTCTATAATTTATACTATAAAAATGTAATATCAAACTTGTCAAGTTTCTTTGAATCAACGAGCTCATTTGTATGTTTCTTAATTTAAGACAAATGGCGTAATACAATTGTATTATTCATCTGTATATAATAAACTACATCAATAAAAAAAAGAAAAATAATCAAAATCCCAGTGAAGAAGTAATACATGAAACTAAATGGGACCAAAGCAGACAGGTGTACTCTGTGTATTAATGAGCCATCTGTTCTGGATGGATCCCCATGGTCTTGTAGATCTCTTTGAGAATGAGCAGAGCCGTGTCTTCAGATTGCCTACAAAACAACACAAGTGTTAATACACAGGTTTCAGACAGTCACTGAAGCAGCTTCAAGGACTTCAGACGTCACTCACCATCATTTAAATGTGCAGTTTTTATACTGTGATGTTTCAGATGCCTCTTTTCCTCTAGTACCTACTCGACTCAACTTGATTCTGTTGCGGTCGTTTTCCATTACAGTTGAGTACCACCTCCACGTGGGTCATTAAAGCTTTTTGTCAGACTCTGGGACCACAGTGGGGTTTTTTCTGCGGCCATTTTTCTCGTTGCCAGGTTTCAAAAATGGTGGTTTGGATTTTTGTGAAGGAGTCACTCTCATGACTCATCGAGTGACACCATCGTCTGGCCTATTGGTGGCATGCAGTCTGATTTCACATTTTCGGATTAACTGTGATCACTTGGAACGCCGGCCGAGCACGTACTAAAGAAGGTAATACCCACCCAGTACCAGGTACTACCACCTAATGAAAAACTATCAAAACTAAGTTGAATCAAGTCGAGCTAAAAAGGTACTGATGGAAACGAGGTAAGAATGTACTGTGAGGAAAGGGCCTAAAAATCAGCAATGAATAAAAAAAAATCTATGCTGCAGAAGAGTAAGTCTTTTTTTTTTTTCATGAAACCAAAATAATATAAGGACTTTGTAAATTATTAAGAATCACATATTTGAGAGGCTGAAACCACCAAACCTGTTACTTTTGCACATAGTAAATATTGAAATTATTAATTGATACCAAAAAACATGGACTTAGTTTTCAGTCTGTGTCATTCAGCTGCTTAATACTCAAGTTTCCATTCAAATTGCAACTACAAACAGGTCTTTAATATGAGATTGCTTGTACCAGTAGCAGAGGTGACTCTGGAGGGCAAACAAATACTCGTTGAAACTCTCAATGGGCTTCTCCTGCAGGACGTAGTCGATGCGATTCCCTCCGTTTAACATCCCGATCTTCACCTGAGACTCGTCGTCTTCTTTTTGAAGCTCAGGGTTGTCTGGAATCTTATGCTCTGTGACAAACCAGATCAAAACGGTTGATCTAACAGTACAGAAAATAGTCAAACGAAGACTCACAAGTGAGCTGCACTCACCCTCGTGCACTTGTTGCTTCTCCTCCTCTTCGATCTGATTGGCCACAATGGCCAGCTGGGCCTGAAGTTGGGCATTCGAGGTGTGAGCACGAGCAAAGTCGTTGAGGGTCTGCCAGGCAGTCCTCAGGGAGCTGATGAAACCCTGCTTCAGGTCAGAGCCCATCCTGGAGAGAGACTCCTTTAGCTCTGAAACACACAGAATCACACCTAAGCCCATTTCCACACAACCAATGAAACCTACATACACTAAAAAAAAAAAAAAGCAACCACCACGAGAAACTTTATTTTGCTGTCACCTTAATGTTTTTCTGCACAGCCAAGGAAAAAACGAATCAGTTTTATTTGCCACTACGTTGCTTCATGGCAATTGAAGTGCAAGAATAGAGTCTTTGTGCTGTGTAACTGCAGATATTGGGGCACTCCACCCTTAAACAGCAGAGAGGCCAAAAATACTGAAAAGTTTAGTTTAGGCTCAGTAACTAACTCTGTATCTGTAACTGTCAGCATTCACAGTTAAAACCTGATTATTTTTTGTTCCTTTTGCTTGAAACTTAATCTCATATGTGACTACAACACATCTGCTCTGAGTGTTTGGGTCCATACCAAGATGAAGCCTCTTCCGTCCTTTGTGATGTGGGATCAAAACAGGCTTCGAGTCCAGGTCTGGCATTATCATGGGCTCGATCCTGTAAGCCACTGGGTCCAGCTAAAAGACATTAGTCTAGTGAATGAAATGCCTGTGCACACCAGAATAATGTACAAATCTGACCCAGAAACAATAAAACATGTTACAAATAGCTATAAATACACAAACACATACTGGATGATAAATATTGAAGAATCCCTTGCATGTGGGCAGCTGGTACGTCTCTTCGATCTTCTCAAGTCCTCGTACAGTCAGGAACATGCCGATTGGAGAACCCAAGGCAAAGAAATTCACAGGCTCAAAGTCCAGAGTGTGGTAGATGACAGACACCTGCAAAAAGTTTATTAAATGTCAGCTCTGCTTCAGAATAGCAGCTCATTGTTGCTGAAAGACAGATGTGTTTACCTGCCCCGTTCCCACTTCAAAGTAATTGTAGTCCACATGGACAGAGGAGACGGTGCTGCCCACTGGAAGCTTCTTCACAGTTGGATCAGAGGGAACTTCAGCTGCTGGTGGAGGTGCTGCAGTCTGAGTGACCTCTTTGACCTGTTTTTTGTTCTCCTGAGCTGCAGCCTGTGAACATGAAACCATGAGGGGCGGGTCCATAATCACAATTTTTGCAAGCCTCGCAGATACTCAGCAGACAAACTTACCTGCTTATTCACTCTTTCTTTCACAAATTTGGCAATTTTTTTTCTGGGACCAAGTGGGATACCCATCTCCTTCAGGTCCTCAATTGTGCACATAAGCTAAGAGAATATAAAAGGGTCAGAATAAGATGAATTACATTATATTGCATAAAACTCCTGATGTTCTCAAATGACCTTATACAGTTTACATTTATAATTAGATTTCTTATACTTCTAAAACATATCTCAACTCCTAGCAGTCTGTAAAATAAAAGGTGGACTGTGTTCTTACAAAAGATTCAATGTCAATCTTCTCCTCATCAAAGGTACTCTTGTATTCAGACAGGCCCAGATGTTCCAGCATAGCAGCAAGATCCTCAAACTCCTCCCCGTCTTCTTTGGGCTGCTCCTCCACAGCTGGAGGGGTGACGGCACTATTTTCCTGTGCAACAGGGGCCGTCACCTGATACAAGAAGCAAAATTTACAATTACATACCGAACCTTTATTCTGAAAATATTCAACTCATTTACAAATAAACGTAAAAGAGCACGGTGTTTGTTTTATTTTTACAGTATATTGTAATTTATTTAAATTAGTCAGGGCGTGACCTGTCTGACTTCTCCGTTAGCAGCGGGCATGGTTGGCATGGCCCCTCCAGGTGAGGCATTCTTCTGATTTGAAAGCAGGTCAAAGAGAATCAAAGAACCTGCAAGGAGAAACATGCAGAAAAATTAAGTGATGGTGGAAAAAACAGAAAGGTTAGAAGCTGATTAAACATGTTTATTACCTAAGCTGTGTCCTGCCACTGACACTGCTCCTCTGAAGTCCGGGTTCCTCTCCATGAACAGGGCATAGAGTCGGTTAATCTCCTGAGCAACAGTGTCCATTATGGTCTGGCAGTAAGTGGGACTGTTGTAGAAAAGCACATCTAACAAGGTCTCGTTGGTAAAGTGACGTAAACGCCCGGTGCTGGGCAAAGTGATCTTCTTTATCCTCCTGCAAAGATGAACAAGAAATAAGTCTGTTAAGGTCCTGCAAGGATGTCTGGTGAACTGAGGCACCAATTGTCTCCAGTATATAATGACAGTGTCCAATAAATGTTCTGTTTACCCCTCTCTGAGTAATGATGAAGGACTTACAGGTGACAAACAATGTCAATTTAAAATAAGAGAGTAAGTCCAGTGTTTCCATCCAGTCAGGAGCTATTTATAATATCACCACATGTGTGTCAGGCCTCTTTGGTGTTAAGCCTTTGTCCCCCTCACCTGTCCACCCCTGTGGCATCTCCATGTAGAGCCGTGTGCCACTGCACGGGCAGAAACTCCACTCTGCTGATAGCGTGTTCATCCAGCGATTTCTTAAAATGGCTCTGCAGCAGCTTCAGCGACACATTACGGAAGTCGTCCACTGAAAGCACGACAAAACAGCATTTTTAACGTTTCCTTCGTGCACATCGTTACACGACTGCAGTGTGACTGCTCATTACTTCATTACTCACCACACTCAATCATGCTCCGAAATCTCAAGTCACACACGGGGCCAATTCCATGAACCATGAACACAAGATGATCCACTGTTGAGAGCTCACCTGGAAAGAGATGTCTCTAATCTTAAATATGTGCATAAAATGTGAACTACAGTCAGAATGAGGCTGCATTATACTTCACCTAGCACCCAACCAGCTATCAAAAAGTCCTAAAAAACTGATTATGATCCTTCTAATGCCTCTGGAATACCTTATCATACTTTCCATTTCCTAAAATTACACTTAGTGGATGATACAAACTGTGTTTACACTTAGAGCAAATTATTTTGAGCACAGCGGAACTTGTCTACCATCAGGCACTTCATCGTGGTCATCATCGATCCCTCTCTTCACCACTCTGGGTCTGGTCTGCCCGTCCTGAGTTGTGCCCCACTCATCTGGTACGCAGGAGGGCTGAAACTGCACTATGACCTACAAAGGCAAACAGATCAATGCTCGTGAACTATAAAGCTAATTACATCATCAGACGGCTACAGCACATTAATCAAACAGGGGTTTACCTTTGGATTGTGCATCACAATAGTTTCCCCTGATGGGAACTCCAGCCTGCGGTGCCACTGGTTGGTAGACACAGCTTTCTTATATTCAGCCTAGAGATGATGCAATAATACAATATTATAACTTTCTTTTACAACAGTGCAGCCTAAACTAAATCAATAAAGAATAATGCAGAGGGTATAAAAAACAGTA